GGCTAAGAGACTACAAACTACAAAAACTTTCCAAGCCTCAGGAAAAATAAAATATACTGAAACTCGGCTCATTCTCAACCGTTTTCAGTGATTTTTAGCTCAATTTTCAGCAAAATTTCTGGAAAATTTTGTAGTTTGTAGTATGCTAAGCCTCAGTAAATTTTTTTCAGGTCGTCGTCACCCGCTGGTACGGAGGGATCCACTTGGGACCAGATCGCTTCCGGCACATCAATAATTTAACACGACAAATTTTATCGGATAATAATTATGGAGCAAAAAAGTAATTGATTGATCAACTTTTTTTCAATCCGTGCTCTAATGATAATAAATTGTTTGAAAAAAATAGTTCATTAGAGCGCATTTGCACCTTTTATCGCATTTTTCTCACAATTTCACCCATTTTCTTGTCCGATCTTACGTGTATTTCAAAATAGGAATTTTCCTGAAATTTTTTTTGAAAAATTGGCTGTAATTTTTTTGTAAACTTTAAAAACAAATTATTTTCTAAAATAAAAATGCGCTATTTGATAGAGCTTGGCTCCCCAAATAGCATCTATTATACGGTATTCTGTTGCTCACACATTATAATTGCGTTTGCTATTTTTATGGTAAGCGTAATTGACCAATTAAAAATTAATTCCCAAAATTTCAGATTCTAGACATGACTTTACAACTATTCTCGCTGTTCTTCGAGCTTTTCGTGATTTTTGTAGGTTTTTCGCATTGGAGCAAACTTGCTGAGCCGAGAAATTTGAATTTTTTGCAGTATCGAGACGTTCCCGATCAGATTTGGGCGATTTTTCATGGGATTTCATTGGTTTCGATGGTTTCGGGGTTTTTCGCAATTTTTGTAATTTTTAGTTTTTTTTTTTAAATTATTGATTTTTCGAAAAAAATGAAGTTTCGAAAAAAAACTTTTTTTTTTCGAAATTTTGGATTTTTCAAATGTTTGAAACAAAACTAATTTTTTCAGAAAATTGCTGAAACTCGACAAAAATTGAATAAAAAATTCAAAATTTCAAAATTTTGATTTTCCAGGATTCTCCCCCAGCGATAATCTTTTTTGCATGTCGTGTGGTCCTTATTCTATGTGTAACCATTGCTAGATTCATGTAAATTTTTGAATTTTCAGACTACAAACTACAAAAATTTTCCAGAATCTCCATTCAAGAATTCTCGTCTTCAGAAGAGCCAACACTTCAGGAGCTTTCAAACCTTTTTCAGATAATTCCAGTCATTTTGTACACAATTGGAGCATTTTTATCGATTAAATTGTTTTCGTTTTTTACTGGAAGATATAGGTAAATTTGAAAAATTAAGGAAAAATAAAATTTGAAAAACATTTTTTTTTGGAATTTTATTATTTGGAAAATGATTTTTCCAGAGGATACTACGATGTAGATGAAGACCTACGGCTGGAAATCAAGAGGTAAAGCTGGTGATAGCCTAGAATTACAAAAACTAAAACTTCAAATGTTTTCCCAAAAAAATCAAAATTTTAGGATTTTCTACAACTTTTCAAAGCTTTTAAACACAAAATTCAAATTTCCCGTCAAAAACTTCCCTAGATAGCCTTTTTCTGCGTCTGTAACTCTCAATTTTCGGTTTTTGGGTTACTGTAGCCTGGATTCTGTGCACATACCTTAAGCAAAACACCGAACCGTACGACAAAGTGCACAAAAGTGCCAAAAAAAGAGGTTTTCAGGGGGAAATACGCGGGAAAATCGAATTTCGTATTGAAATATCTCTAAAATGTCAATTAATTTCGAAAAATTTTTTTTTTTTGAAAACATTTTTATTCCAGAGCTTTCACTGAATTCGAAGCGACTATCGATGAGGCACCAGTCAAGGAGGACTAAATATTTTTTGATCAATTTATTCTTTTTTTGAATAAATTCTTTTTTTTTCTTTTTTTTTCAAATTTGGAAATATTAAAAAATCAGGTCATGACCTAAAAAAATTAGGTCATGACCTTGAAAAAAATCCTAGAAAAAAGTAGGTCGTGACTTAGAAAAAACTAGGTCATGACCCAAAAAAAATTAGGTCATGACCTAGAACAGAATCGATGCTACAGTAACCCGAAAACTCAAAATTGAGAGTTAGAGACGCAAAAAAAGTTTTCCAGAGTAGTTTTTGATGAGAAATTCGAATTTTGTAATCAAAAACTTTAAAAAGTTTTAGAAAACCCGAAATTCTGATTTTTTTCAAAAATTTTACGAAATTCCCTCTATTTCTTCCCAGCCTATTTTGGAAAAAAAGAAACAAAAAACCTATTTTTTCTCATATTTTTTTGGTTTTTTACACTTCTTTATGTTTGTTTTCAATTATTTTTTCTTTTTTTGCCCACGACTTTTTTTTGCTCGGCCTACTCATTTTTTATCCCCCTAGTTATATGTTTTTTTGGATAAAAAATATATGAATCAGAAAAACAAAATAATGACAGGAATACATTTTTTTGGATTTATGGAAATTTTCTTTATGAAAATTCTTCAAAAAAAAGTTTTAAATTAAAATTTTTTGAATTCTTAAAATTTGAACTCTCCAGTTTTTCAGTTTCTTAAATTCCTAGTTTTCTACAATTTTTGGAATTTTCAGAAGATTCGGAATATTGAAATTTATTTGAAAAAAATATTTTTTTGAGTTTTTGAGCTTCTGAAATTTTTTTCACTGACTACAAACTACAAAAATTATTCCAAAATAGTTGATATCATGTTTTTTTTTCATCCCACCACACCTGCAAATCCGGATTTTCTAATTTCCGGCTTTTTGGATTTTTCCCCTTTTTTCCTTTTTTTCTTTTCTTTTTCCAGAGAAACAGGTGCCAAAAATGAGTCATTTTGTAGGATTTTGCATTTTCATTTTTTCTAGAAAGTTCTGAAAAATTAATTCCAAAAAAAAATCAGTAAATCACAGAATTTGAGATATCGTAAACACTCTAATAGAACGCCACCCGAGTCGTCAAAGTGGAGCCCATTTCTCTCATTTTTTGTGAGAGATATCAAAAAGTTGTCAACTGATAAAATATTTATGATGATATCAGCTACATTTTATCAGTTGACCACATTTTGATATCTTTCAAAAAAAGTGAGATATATACGCTTAAAGGGACAGCCCCCCTCTCCCTCTTTACCTCTTCCACTCGGGAGGTCCGATTACTTTGAGCCTAAATATCTTATTTCTTTTGAAAGATATCAAAAAGTTGTCAACTAATAAAATGTTTATCATAATATCAGCAACATCTTATCAGTTGACCACATTTTGATATCTCTCACAGAAAATGAGATACATAGGCTCAAATTTGACGAATTGGATGACGTTCTATTAGAGTGTTTACGGCATCTCAATTTACCAAAAAATAAATTCATTGTTTTGTTCTGAAAATCTGGAACTTTGAAAAATTTTGATTCTGTAAAATTCAAAAAGTCTGGTAAATCTTAAATCTGAAACCCCCAAAATTTCGAAAATTGCAATTTCCCAAAAAATCTCAAAATTCTAAGAAATCACAATTTTTTCAAGTGTCAAGCCATTCTTCTTCTTTTTCCCTAAAAAAAATATTACATTTTTCTTCTTTTTATTCAAAATTGAGAATTTGGAAATTGAATTTTTTGGTTCAAAACACATTTGACATCAAAAATCAAAAATACTAAAACATGTAAGATTAGTTTCTAAAAAGAATAGAAGATAACAAAATTATTCATTTAAGCAAATTTATACAAAAAAGTTTTTCTTCTTCCTCTTTTTTCCCTCCTAATCGCTTTCCGAAACACACGACAATTATCCCCACGTCTTCTACTTGTTCTTCTTCTTTTTTTTTAGGATTTGTATTCCTGGATTTACGGATTTCATTGATTTTTCTATATTTTTCCCCATAGCATTTCTAATTTTCAAGCTTAAATTTTCATTTTCATACCAAAAGAACAAATTTTATGATAATTTAAAAGTTCAGGATTTTCTAGAATGTAAATTGTCTGGATTTTTTGTAGTTCAATGAAGCTCCATATAGCGCAAACACTCTAATACAACGCTGATAAACATTTTATCAGTTGACATCTTTTTGATATCTTTCAAAACAAGTGAGATATTTATATATATATATATATATATATATATACTCTCAAAGTGGATTGTCTATTAGAGTGTTCACGGTACTCTGAACGTCAATGTTAATCTCTAGAATATGAATTTTATTATCAAAGTTTTTCATCTTTTAAGAACCGCTCTCTTCAAAGAGACAATCGCTCCAAAATCCTTGTTCCTTTTGAAACATAAGTTTCCACTTTGTCTAGTTCTTCCCTCCCCGCAGTTCCTTTTGGCTTCAAAAACGTTTTTCCCAATTTCTGACCCTTTTGCTAGAACTCCCTAGTGTCTCGCTAGAGTTTCTTTGAGTTTCATCCGAGCGGAATTCCTGATTTTGGATTTCACGAATTTTCAAAATTTCGCTAATCATTACTAATAACATTCACCAGATTCTGTATGTGCGTATGTATGTAGCGCACCTTAGCACTCATTCAAAGTTAACCGATCAAGCTGAACCCTGGACAGATAGATCAGAAATGTGTTGATGCCGGAAGTTTTGGTTTTTCGAAATTTTGATTTTGAAGTTGTCTGGAGACGTTCATTGATTTCATCACAGTACAGGGTGATGGGCAGTAAGGGGAAAGTGGAGGACACGTGTACGCCATTTTTACCTTAAGATCACGTGTACTGTAACCGGAGGCCAGGAGGTTCAGCCCCGAAGGGGTGTAAACCGACAGGTTAAAAAGGTATTACCAAAAATAACGAAACCGGTAGTAGAAAGACCGGTCTTTCTGTTGTTCCAATATACTTCCGGAGGGCACTTGGGGTCCTTCAATTACAGGGACTATTCTACTAGAAATTTTCAATCTCATACAGCAAATTTTTAAGGGGGACCTTCTTTTAGAGGAGCCCTTTTGATACAGGGTTCACGGTAGAATCTTAGAATTTCAGAGATTCCCTAGATCCCGAATCCTGTCCTAGATGAAATTAGCAATGATCCATCTTTCCAGGGGCTTCCTAGAGATGGACATCTGTCCCTGGACGAATCTAAATCCCCCGTAGAAACTAGTGTTGAGTAGTAGTCAATATATAAAAGATGACGGGCCCCCGAAAAACCTCGTCGTGCTCTGGATGATGAAACCCTATAGTCTTCCTTCCCCCTCCACTTTTCTCGTTTTTCCATAATCGGTGTGTTGGTTGGGGGGAGGAAAAAAGGAGAAAAAGAAGAAGCAAACGGGGAGCCCCCCGAAGAAGTGCGTCGTCCCTCAGCACGCCTTTTACAGCTCCCTCAGTACATACCCCCCCCCCCCCCCCTCTCTCTCTCTCTCGCTCTCTTCTCTCTTGGGCTCCAC